GAGGAACACTTTGTGTGCTACCAAACGTCACAACGTAACCGGGTGAATATAAAGGTGCTCTACAGGTGTCTCCGAAGGTACTTGTTGGGTTAGCGTATTTCAAGATTAGGATTTGTCACTCTGATTGTCGGAGAGGTATCTCTGGGCCCACTCGGTAATGCACGTCACTATAAGCCTTGCAAGCATTGCAACTAATGAGTTAGTTGCGGGATGATGTGTTACGTAACGAGTAAAGAGACTTGCCGGTAACGAGATTGAACTAGGTATTGAGATATCGACGATCGAATCTCGGGCAAGTAACATACCGATGACAAAGGGAACAACATATGTTGTTATGCGGTCTGACCGATAAAGATCTTGGTAGAATATGTGGGAGCCAATATGAGCATCCAGGTTCCGCTATTGGTTATTTACCGGAGACGTGTCTCGGTCATGTCTACATAGTTCTCAAACCCGTAGGGTCCGCACGCTTAACATTTCGATGACAGTTATATTATGAGTTTATATGTTTTGATGTACCGAAGGTTGTTCGGAGTCTCGGATGTGATCATGGACATGACGAGGAGCCTCGAAATGGTCGAGACATGAAGATTGATATATTGGAATCCTATGTTTGGATATCGGAAGTGTTCCGGGTGAAATCGGGATTTTACCGGAGTACCGGGAGGTTACCGGAACCCCCCGGGAGGTTAATGGGCCTTAGTGGGCCTTTACGGAGAAGAGGAGAGGCGGCCAGGGCTGGGCCGCGCGCCCCTCCCCCCTAGTCCGAATAGGACAAGGAGAGGGGGGCGGCGCCCCCCTTCCTTCCTCTCTCCCTCGTCTTTCTCCCTCCCAAGTCCTAATCCAACTAGGAAAGGGGGGAGTCCTACTCCCGATGGGAGTAGGACTCCTCCTGGCGCGCCCTCTCTCCTGGCCGGCCGCACCCCCCCCCCTTGCTCCTTTATATACGGGGGCAGAGGGCACCCTAGAGACAAAACAGTTGATCAGTTGATCTTTTAACCGTGTGTGGTGCCCCCCTCCACCATAGTCCACCTCGATAATATTGTAGCGGTGCTTAGGCGAAGCCCTGCGTCGGTAGAACATCATCATCATCACCACGCCGTCGTGCTGACAAAACTCTCCCTCAACACTCGGCTGGATCGGAGTTCGAGGGACGTCATCGGGCTGAACGTGTGCTGAACTTGGAGGTGACGTGCGTTCGGTACTTGATCGGTCGGATTGTGAAGAAGTACGACTACATCAACCGTGTTGTGCTAACGGTTCCACTTTCAGTCTACGAGGGTACGTGGACAACACTCTCCCCTCTTGTTGCTATGCATCACCATGATCTTGCGTGTGCGTAGGATTTTTTTTTGAAATTACTACGTTTCCCAACAGTTTGACCGATAAAGATCTTCGTATAATATGTAGGAACCAATATGAGCATCCAGGTTCCACTATTGGTTATTGACCGGAGATGAGTCTCGGTCATATCTACATAGTTCTCGAACCCGTAGGCTCCGCATGCTTAACATTCTGTGATGATTTGTATTATGAGTTATGTGATTTGATGACTGAATTTTGTTCGGAGTCCCGGATGAGATCGGGGACATGACGAGGAGTCTCGAAATGGTCGAGACGTAAAGATTGATATATTGGAAAGCTATATTCGGACATCGGAAAGGTTCCGAGTGATTCGTGTATTTTTTTGGAGTACCGAAGAGTTACGGGAATTCGTATTGGGCCTTAATGGGCCATACGGGAAAGGAGATAAAGGCCTCAAGGGTGGTCGCGCCCCTTCCCCATGGACTGGTCCGAATTGGACTAGGGAAAGGGGGCGCACCCTTCCTTTCTTCTCCTTCTCCCTTCCCTTTTTCCTATTCCATGTAGGAGGTGGAATCCTACTAGGACTAAGGAGTCCTAGTAGGACTCCACACTTTGGGCGCGCCCTATGAGGGCCGGTCTCCTCCTCCTCCATCCTTTATATACATGGCCAGGGGGCACCCCATAGACACACAAGTTGATCATTGATCCCTTAGCCGTGTGCGGTGCCCCCCTCCACCATAATCCACCTCGGTCATATTGTCGTAGTGCTTAGGCGAAGCCCTGTGCCAGTAGCTTCATCACCACCATCATCATGTCGTCGTGCTGACGAAGCTCTCCCTTGACACTCTGCTGGATCGTGAGTTCGTGGGACGTCATCGAGCCGAATGTGTGCCGATCGCGGAGGTGCCGTACTTTCAGTACTAGGATCAGTCGGATCGTGAAGACGTACGACTACATCAACCGCGTTGTCATAACGCTTTCGCTTACGGTCTACGAGGGTACGTGGACTACACTCTTCCCTCTCGTTGCTATGCATCACCATGATCTTGCGTGTGCGTATTAAATTTTTTGAAATTACTGCGTTCCCCAATAGTAAGAGCATCTCCAACCGATCCCCAAAAAATTAGAGGACGATACGACCAAGTACCTTTTTTTGAAACGAAAGGGGTTGCCCCCCTGTCGTTTCTAACCGATCCCCAATACTTAACTCCCTAAAAAAATCAATACAAATTCGGTGCAAATTTGGTTCAAACTACTACACCAAACTTGATTCGAAATATTTTACATAACTTGAATGAAGATTAGACTAGATTGCATAAAAACTCACTAAAACTACTCGCTAATCGCTCTCCCAGTCCGATTTGGTAAGCGCCGTGTCGTCGGAGTCATGGAGCAAAGGTCAATGACCTCCCTTGCCCCAGTCGCGTACTGCTTACATACAGTGCTCCGTCTCGACGTGCTCCGGGTATCTGTGGCGGAGCTCCGCCATGTATGCTTCGCCGGCTTGCTTCGCCTCGAGGCGCTCCCTAGCCTCCCGGTCTTCCTGCATCTCCTGTGCGGTGGCTAACCAGGGGTTGACGGGCGCCAACTACGACAGGCCGTTGGAGAAGTTCAGCTGGTTGTTGGCATCGTGGAGGCAGACCGACATAATGTGGCATTCGTGCGCCTCCTTCACCGGGAGTGGGAGGAGCCAATCCAAATACTCTCGCGGGTCTTGCGGTCAGTGATATTTGCGTCCCACGTCCCCCACTGGTGCTGCCACACTCGAGGTAGTTCGGCTGCGACGGCGGCAACGGCGAGAGGCCAGGGGTGAGGGGTGCGTCGACGCGGAAGGATGAAGCGTCGTCGCAGGAGGAGGATGCGTCGCCACGGCCACGGGCTCGGGACGGCATGGCAGCGTGGATCCACACTAGGGATGGACGGTGGGGAGTGACGGCAGCTGGATCCGGCCATTATCAGCGGCGGGGCGATGTGCGGGTGGAGATGGGGCGAGGGCGTCCCGGCGGCATCAAACCCCTAACATTAAAGCTTAGCCTTAGAGCATCTCCAGCCGTTCGGCCCCCCAGGGCGCCAAAAAAGAGCGGCCTAGGAATGAACTGGTGCTAGATTGGCCCCTGGGGCCGACTTCATTCCCAGTCGTCGGCCCACAGGTCGCCGTGGGTTCAGCGATATTCCGTTCAATTTTTTGCAAACTCGACGACTTTTGCACGAACTCGGCGATACTTCACTGAAATTTGTATAAAAAATAAAAAAAATGCAAACTACACCAAACTAATAAAAGCCTAGCCACCGTCGTCGCCTACATGCCGAGAAGCCTGTAGAAGCGGGTGTAGTCGCCGCCGTCGTCGTCGTCGCGCGCCTCGCCTGCGCTGCCGCCGTCCCTGCTGCAGCCCTGGCCGGGGTCGCCGACACGCGGCGGGGCGTTGGACGTCGTCCTCCTTGTCGCTGTCGAGGACGATGACACCGCTCTCCTCGCGGCCGCGGAGACGGGCCTGGAGCTCCAGGTACGCCCGGCGCTGGCGGCGCACCTGCTCGCGAACGTAGTCCTCCTTCGCTCACTTGTGGGCGGTCGCGTCGTCGGGGCCACCATGTCGACGTGCTCCGGCACGGGGAGCAGCCCAGCTCGGGCTTCGGCCGGACCAGGCGGAGGGAGCGCCTCGCCGGTGCCGGACCAGGCAGGGGCGGCCGGGCACCGTCGTTGATGACGAGGGCGTCGCTGCGAGTGCGGCGCCCGAGCGGCGTCTCCTCCGGCTCGGGCTTGACGGGGCAAAGGGCCGGCGAGCCGGAGCCCGACGACGAGGACGACCCCGCCTTCATCCGACGCGGCGTCCAGGAGCTGCCACGGCGAGAGAAGGATGACCGCGGCGGGTACTCGAGGCGCGGCACATTGCCGGTCTCGATGTGGTCGAGGACGGCCTTGAGGGTGCGACCAGGCACACCCCACCACTCGCGTCGCCCGTCGGCGTTGAGACGATCGCGGGGGATGACGTTGTTGGTGGAGGCAATCTGCTCCTCGCGGCGGCGCGTGAAGTACATGGACCACATGATGTGGCTGTCGGCGGCGTACCGCGATTCGTTCCGCTGCTCCTCCGACAGGGACGAGCGGATGCGGGCGATCTCGACCCGCCGCGCCGCCCCTTCGAACACATGTGGCACCGGGACGCCACCGCCGCTCAGCCTCCACGTCCCCGGCACCCGCATGTCTGGGGGCGCCGAGTATTCGGCCTCGTAGAGGAGGCACGCCTCCGGCTCTTGGAGGTGGCGACGGTCGAAGCCGTTCGCCGCGCCGCCGTCGCCTGGAAACCTCTCAGCCATCTGTTCGTCGGCGGGAAGGCGGGAAGATGGGGAGAGTGTAGCTTTTGTGTGTCGAAGTAGGGGAACTGAGAACTGCGCCGTCCACCGGCGGGGACGTCGCCTTTTATAGCCGAGCGAGGCCGGCGAGAGGCTGCATGCCGGGCAACGCGTGACGGGTGAGGACGGGACGCGCGTCGCGGCGCCTTCATTGTGCCGCCGTCAGGCATCAATGGTCTGGTCTTACGCCCTTACCCCTCAAAAGAAAAAGGAAAAACCACAGCGTGCTGGTCTGGTCTTCTTCCTAGGCGCAATTCGTCACGATTCCTAACAAGCCGAGCAGAATCGCGGGCGCAGAGTGCCCGGAGAGGAGCGTGGTCAGTGGAGCAGACCACGCTGCAGCCATGTCGGTGCAGGAGTACCTAGAGAAGCACCTGCTCCCGCGCAAGATCGAGGAGGCCGTGAACGCGGCCGTCCGCGCCAAGGCCGCCGACCCGGTGCTCTTCATCTCCACCCACATGCGGCGGGCGGCGCCGGCCGTGATCACGCGGGTGTGCGCGCGGCAGATCCTGGACAGCCGCGGCGCCCCCGCGGTGGAGGTCGACCTGCACACCAACAAGGCCGTGCACCGCGCGTCCGCGGCAGGGCCGGGAGCCCCCGAGGGCGCCGCGGTCGACGCCACGAGGGACGTCGAGAAGCGGAGGCTCCTCGCCAAGGCGGTCGCCGACTCGGTGCGGCTGATCAACGGCAAGGTGTCGGAGGCGCTCGTGGGGATGGATCCGCAGCAGCAGGCGCAGATCGACCAGGCCATCATGGACTTGGACAAGGCGCACCACAGGGTACATCGCCGAAACCCCGATTATTCCTTCTCTCATTCTCTACTGTTGATCTGTTCCTGCATTTCCAAGCTCTATTTGTGTAGATATGATAATGAATTACTCCGTATTATATGAGGATGTTGTTATGCTGTCTCTAGGTGTTTCCCCTAACCACATACTCCAATTGTGTGCTCTGCTACACGGTGGCAATATTGGGCACCGGCTAGCTTCATTTTAGGCTTCCCTGCTGGAAATAATGCTGTGCCATTTTCGATGGTTGTAATGAATACTAGTTTACTAGTATCTCAATTTTTTTGTACCAAAACAAGAGTATCTCAATTTAGTACGATTGTGTAGTTCACAAAAGTTTCTGTGGATGTGCATTGTCCTCTCTGGTTGGAGGGCACCATGCAACACATCCTGCATACAAAGTAACTAATTAATTGTGACAACCATGTTCAGACTGAGGTTGGAGCGAATGCTATGCTGGCCGTATCAATTGCAGCTTGTAAAGCTGGTGCTGCTGAGAAAGAGGTATCACTTATATTCTTTATCTGGGTCTTAGGTGAAAATTGAATCTGTGACGATAACACAAATTCTTATAGTTGTTTGCCTATTTCTGTGCAGGTTCCGCTGTACAAGCATATAGCAGATCTTGTTGGTAAAAGCGCAACGACGCTTCCCGTCCCAGCAATTACAGTCATTAATGGTGGAACCCATGCTGGAAATAATCTTCCCATTCAAGTATTTCCACTTCACATTTAGGATTACCTTTTGTAATAAAATTTGCTTTGCAGACTGCTGAGAACACTCTTTTTCTTTTTTTGCAAATAGACTGCTAAGAACACTCTCTTAGGCTTTTCTATAAACCCCAAAACTTTGCAGAGTTTGAGATTGTTACTACCTTGTTTCTTACTGTAATATATGCTACATGTAGTTTGACATATCAATATACTGTATTTATTTTTTCTGCGTAGTACTTTGAAGTAAAGTTTACGTTTCTGTAGGAAATTAAGATCCTTCCAATCGGTGCCAAAAACTTTGAAGAAGCAATGCAGATGGGTTCAGAGACATATCATCATCTGAAGGTACCCTCCGTTTTAACAAACTGCTTCACAGATATACTTCGATAATAACACCGTGCACACTTTCTTGGCTATGTGCGTGTTGTCTAGTATTTGGACCAACCTGCTACCTTCCCATCAAACATTCTAGGAACATTGTGTTTCCACGAAAACTTAACGCCTTATGCTAGCTTGCCAACTCTCTTTTATGTCTTCTTATGGCACTGATTTTTCTCGGTGATTGCTACTAAGCCAAAACAGAGAAATTGCTTAAACATTGGCTGTCCAGCTGTTTGAAAGTTTTGTTTTTAGAACGCAGTTCTGCACAGAAATATTTGCTGATTTTCACTAATGATTTGTTAGGATATTATATGGGAGAAGTATGGTTCAGACAGTTGCAACATTGGCGATGATGGTGGATTTGCTCCTAATATTTCCAGGCAAGTAAGGAATTGATTTTACTTTTTCCTGATGTGTTTTGTTTCTCAGTTTCCCTTTTGAGCACCTACATATGGATATTAACATACCATATCTATGTCTGGTGAATGTTCAGTATAACCGAAGGCTTGGATCTTGTCATTGCGGCAATAGATAGAGCTGGATATAATGGAAGGATCAAATTAGCAATTGATGCTGCTGCTACTGATTTTTGTGTAGGTAAGGATAAATCAGTGAAATCTCTATCATCCATATATCCTTAGCTGTTAACACCATGGTTTATATTCTCCTTTGAATAACATCTTGGGCATCTACATAACTACACCCAATAGAAAATGCAAGTAATGGCGTACATTTCACAGATAGTTCCATAGTGTTGCTGTGTAAGAAGGATGTGTTTTTAGTCTACTGTGTTTTCCAGCTTCTTCTTTGTGTTGCATCGTTGTTATTTTTACAGCTGCCATCGCTGCCTGTAACAGTGTAACTTGATATGCTAGGGCCAGTTAAAGCATACTATTGTGATCAGCATTTTCAATCAGGCACCATTTGACCAATCTCTTGCTATTTTACTGTTGTTATTATACTTTTTGGAAATGTACGGCCTTGAAACATGGAAAACAATGAGTTTTTTCATTCAAGCTAGAAACAGTGAGCTTGAATAGCAGTCAGATGTACTCCCTCCGTCCTGAATTACTTGTCTTAGATTTGTCTAGATACCGTATCTAGACATGTTTTAGCGTTAGATACGTCCGTATCTAGTCAAATCCAAGACAAGTAATTTGGGACGGGGGTAATATATTGTCGGCTATTAACAATTAGTCTTACTATTTTCGCGAGTTAACTTCCCTGCTTGCTCATGCTTTTCTTTGCAGGAAAAAAATATGACCTGGAGTTCAAGTCTGCAAAGAAATCAGGGCAAAATTTCAAAACTGGGGACGATATGATTGAGATTTATAGTCAACTATGTTCAGGTATCACTTGTTTGTGGATTTACATATTCTGGGAGAAAAATCTTTTGACTTCATGAACCTTATATTTCCTCTTTTTTGTACACTAGAATACCCACTTGTCTCCATTGAACAGCCCTTCGACAAAGATGACTGGGAGCACTCGAAAAAGTTTACCACCCTAGAGCTATGTCAGGTACCTATTGTGCTTTTATTTTCTATTTTCTGTCAGGAGCTCATGCCATAATGCATTTGCAGGTTGTAGGAGACGACTTATTGATGTCAGATCCTGAACGCATTAAGCGGGCAGTAAATGAATATACTTGCGACGCTCTTACTCTCAAGGTAAGTCACAAATCATTCATTTGTTTATTGATGTTTATAAACTTGCTGCTTTGTGCAAGTTACTGGGCCCCCGAAGGCTAACAATACCAGACTCTGGAATTAGGCGTTTTTTAAGCTGGAACAAGCCACAATTGATTTTGACTAACCACAGCAATCTTTGTGCCTGGATACTCAGTGTGGTTCTTTGTTTGATTGAATGCCACTCCTTCCATTTTGTGCCTATTATTTTGCATGGCATGATTTGAGTTTAAGGGCATTTATTTACAGACAATGCAATGTAGTACCTGAATTCACGAAGATGAGCAATTAATAGTTGAACTGATTGTAGGCACATAATGTTGCAAGAGCCACATGGTTGCACATGTAGTACTTGCCTCCTTGATTCTTCCTTGCTCTCTTGATTTCTGTAACTGTCCAGGGATTCTCTGTGTCATGTACCTTATTATGTGTTTCCTTTTCTTATCATGTGTATGTAGGCAAGTCAAGTGGGCACTGTCACTGAGGCCATAGAGGCTGTGAAACAGGCAAAGGATGCGCATTGGGGTGTGATGGTGTCACATAGGTCTGGGGACACGGATGATTCTTTCATCGCCGACCTGGCTGTCGGTGCAGCAGCTGGACAGATCAAAGCTGGTGCCCCCTGCCGTGGAGAGTGCCTCACGAAATACAATCAGGTTTCTGTTGAATGCTTGCTGCCTTTTATGTGGATACATGCACCAAAGTATTGGTCTGAAGTCATAGTACCATATGGTCATTCTAAACAGCTTCTTAATTTGTCTTGAATGGTTTTTGATGACTGTGTGCATTGTGTTTGCAGCTTCTAAGAATAGAGGAAGAACTTGGAGGCGAAGGGGGTTACGCTGGCGAAAATTGGAGAACTACCGCGGGCTGACTCGTGGCTCACTGGATTCCGTTGATGCGGTCCGGGGGGGTTCTGTAGAAATGTGTTTTGTGCTGGCTCAGCAAAGGCAAGGAAAGAGGGTAGCTTAACAAACTGGGGAAACTTTCAGGCACACATTGGTTTCTTAGGTGCAGTGGCTGAACTGCTGGGACTTTACTTTTGATAGATGTTGAGCTATGCCTTTTTTCCCTTTTCATTTATATGTGGTATGGAATGGATCGTGCACAAGATACATGAATTTGAGAATGGGTTTGAAGGAGTAGAGTTTTTCATTTGTACAATATACACAGTTCCAATGCACTCCAAGTTTTGCGTTTAAAGTAGTTCAGATATAGTTAGTCCAAAGTGTTTGTTCTACTGAGAGCAGTTTGCGTGAGCTCAGCTTATTATAATATGGTAGAAATTGTGGAACAGTCGAGCAAATATCAAACCAGACAGCAAAATGGTGTGCTGAAGTATCAAAGCACTGAGGCACACAAAGAACTCCTTATATCAAGGAACAGAAAAAAGCACACAGTACTTGATGCACAACAATTTCTTCCGAAATGACATTCAACTCCATGGTTCAACAACGTGATCGAGCTAGCCACATATGGGGACACGAAATATAGTCCTGGTATCCCCAGAGCTAGAACACAGCACACAGCAGGTTACAATCGTAAAAAAAGAGGCGCTTTCCAAACTTTCGCCCTCAAAGCCCACTATGAAGATGGCAGCATAATCAGGAGGATTCAGCAGCCGCCGGAGCTGTTTGTGCCGCCGCCTGTGCTGTTTGCGCCTCTGCTGCGCGCTTGACCGATGCGCACTTGATCAGATGGTTGTAGCTCCCCTTCTCCTTGAAAAGCTGGGAGAAATGGTGCTTGCAGTAGAGGATGCCTTCCAAGGCCGCGTAGTTGGACGGCGAGAGGGCGCAGCCTCCATGAGAGCATTTGAAGCAGGACTTGTGGTAGGACTTCTCTTCAACTGTCACCTGCAAGATTTAGTTTAACAACTAGGCATGAGTCATCTGCATGTTCTTGAGGCTTTAGGATATAACTGAGAAGGAAGTTGATGATTCAAGACAATTATGATGGAAGTTGGCTGCCTAAAAGGTACTACTCCCTCCGTTCGGAATTACTTGTCTCGAATATGGATGTATCTAGAACTAAAATACATCCAAATACATCCATTTCTGCGACAAGTAATTCCGAACGGAGGGAGTACCTCTGTTTCTAAATGTTAAACGATTTGGCAGTTCAAATTGAACTGCCAAAGCATCTTATATTTAGGAACACAGAGTAAAGTGAAGGCTACACAACTATGTCCAATGTGCAAGTAAATTAACCCCTTGTGTTGAATTGCAAAACGGTCAATCCGACAGTTTTCACATTCTGAAACATCAATTGTTTCGTGAAATGACAAAATTCTGAGACATCTAAGCGAGCTATGCTGACGCCTAGATCACAAAACAAAACAAATATGGTATACTCGGTGATATTACCTTCTCAAGAGGGTATGCTGTTTTACCACAAGTGGCGCACTTGTCCTGCGTTCCCGAAAACATGCCCGCAGCTTTGCTTGGCGATCTGGTCTGAAACAGCACATTCCACATAAGACTAACCGAATCGCAGGGCAGCAAAGAGACAAGACACATATAGATACATGCACCCTATATGGGAGTACATACCAGCTCAGGAGTCAACTTCTCCGTCGCAGATTTCGCGGCTGAAGGAAACAAAGCCAAGGATCAGGACACATTTGATAAAGAAAACAGTAACGACTTTTGCCATGCTTGCAGATTACTTAGTATTGAATGGAAACCTACGGGATTGTGACTGGAAGCTCTTGTTGTAGCTCCCGGTCTCCTTGAACAGCTGCGCGAAATGGGGCTTGCAGTAGGGCACTCCTTCAAAGGAGGAGTAGCTGCTAAACTGTCAAACAGCAAAACAAGATATCCAGACAGATTGTTATTTCTCTTGGTCTTGTTCTTACCAAAGGCAGAGAATGCGAATTGGACAAAGCCGCGATGATCCCCTATCCTTCCTAGACACAAGATTCTGACACGAAATTCAAGCGCCAGATCCGTGCGGCGGAGCAGTCCGCAGATCTGGCATCGCATTTCATTCTACAGATCCATGGACCGTTGACATCCATCCGTCGATCTTTTTCTCTCGCTGTCTCCCGGAACTAGAACAAGAACAAGACGGCTGGAGGTGGTAGAAAGATAAGAGAGCGGGAGGGGAGATGGCATACGGAGAGGGTGGACTTGCAGTGGTGGCACTTGAAGCAGGCGCGGTGGAAGACGGCGCCGTCGGTGGAGAGCTGGTCCATGGGGTACACCGTCTTGGTGCACACCTTGCACTTCTGCTGCGTCCCGCTGAACATGGTCGCCGTCGCCGTCGCCGCCGCCGCCGCCGATCTGATCTCGGCCTGCGCGCGCCTGATGCGACGATGTGACGAGCACCCCACGAGCGCCCCAATGGCCGCGCTTATATACGCGGCAGCGGATGAATGGATGGAATGAATTATGGCGGCCTCTCGAGGTGGGCGGCTCGATCGGGCCGGCTCACAGTTGCCGCGGCGGAAAGAAAAAGGCAACGCACAAACGAAGGAAGCGAAGGGGGGAAAGAGAGATGAGATGCGGGTGAGGGGCCGCGCTAGTGCTCTGCTCATTAACGAATACGCAATTAATTATTACAGCCTTTCGTGCGAACGTGGCTCCGGCTGCGCGGCTGCCGGTGGGCCCGGGAGTACGCGGGGTCCGGCTGCCAGTGGCTGTGCGGTTGGTGGCAGCCACACGAGAACGGAGCTCTGACCGGCGCGAGAAGTGCCGCAGAAGCAACGGCTACGACTACGGGTATTCGCGTCGTTGCGTGGGGCCCGGCGGTCAGCCCCCCTGCGACGGGGAGAGGTGAGAGATGTTCTCTTGGGCAATTTGTTGCTTTTATTATTATTATTATTGGTTATTATTTTGATTGAAGCTGGAATGTGTATGTATGTAGGGGGCGATATTAATTGGTGCCGCAGCGGTGCGGCCCACGTCGGCCAGCTCTTTCCCTGCTGCCTCGTCGGACCACTCTGCTTGTTCGCATGCTTACATCTTTGCAAACAAACAGCGCACTGCTACGTATTTTATTGCGGTGCGAGAGGGCAAGGCCGTGTTTTTGTTGCATGCACAGGCTAAGCTCGGCCTACCCCGCCTAAACGGAAGAGGCTGAGGCGTGGGGCCGGTGCCAACTGCGCAAGCACGCACGGGGGCGGTCTAGCTTAGCAAACGGATTACTTTTGCTCATTTATTTGCTCCTGCGTGGCCTGTCTGTGCTTACACGATATACGGGCAGGCCACAGCTCAATTTCGTAACGCCCGGTTCAAGCGTGGTTAGGAGCGTACTGGATTGTGCCCGTAATAGCCACCAAATTTGCTCACTGGACCAGTGGACCGGACGGTACCCCTAATATGCTGAGCTGATACCAAACACGCCCGTACAGCTCATCCAAGGAAGACATCATTCCGGTCAGCAGTGCGTTGCAAAATCATATACGAGTATACCTAATAACCATCACGTACTCACATAATGATTGGGTTTGAAGCAAGTCCCGTCGTCAACCACCGAGTGCGAGTGCGAGTGCGACCAACGCACCATTATTCTGCCCGGCACCAACCGGAAACGCAATCAACAACTCCACGGCACCGCGCCAACCAACCAAATCACTGCCAAAACAGCACTGGCCTCTGCACCATGCAGCTGAGCGCATAGTTAGCTCGTGTGGCGCTGTCATCAGGTTAGTGCCAATTCTTCTAGCCCCAAATCCATAAATTCCCCAAATGCCCATCACTGTGATCGACGAAACAGCGGTTATAGCATCATAACTGACAAACAGGAGCTTAATTAGCAGGATCGAAGGATGTAACCATGGAAAGAAAACGGGGATTTGTGTATGCGCCACAGATGGGCGGTGGCTGCCGGTATTCTGATGCTTGGTCGGGGCATATCTCATGTGCCCATTTTATATCAGCAAATCATAATGGTTCTTCCCACTGTATAACAGTCTCACCGGCACCCTTTTCTTCCCCTCTTTAGAGTCTTTGGTAACTCCAACCCGTACTCGGCAATTGGGATAAACCCGTTGCCCCGCCCGCGGTACTGTTGCACAAAAAAAAATGGTAGGTTTAGTTCGAGATGGAGTGAGGAAGCATAACATACAAGGCCATCAAAGCAGAACGCTCAAAACATGATTGCGGTGAAACAGATAAAATGGTGCGATAATCCACACAGTATTTCCATTTTGAAGACAAGTTCGATTTAAACATCAAAAAAACGCAAAAGGAAAGGTATTCACCAATCTTTCAAACAGTTTGATTTGCACTTCGCAAAATGCAGTTTCAGTTTTCAACACCATTCTCAAGGAAACTTTAGGCAGATTGTCTAGTTCCAACTGGACCTTTATTTTTTTTGTTATTGAATTACCAGGAAATTTGGCTACATATTATCAATTGCTAGTACACGTGCCTTCCGATTTGATCAACTTTTATCATAATACGTACGATGCAATGCCCATAGTGATGATGATGGTGTTCTTAAAGTCACTATTCTACCAAAACCCCTTGTTCAGTTTTTCTCTCTTATCAGTTGGAACAACTATTCCATTGATTTGTTATGAGAATCGCTTCCATCATGTCACAACCATATTATTAAATATAGATGAAGTTTTATTATCCTTCTCCACTCTGCACACATATAGATTCATCATCACCTAGGGCGGTTGAATTTACCTCACGCTCCGGAATGTAAATAATGATTGGTTGCCGACACAGTCTAGACAAAACCTGGAAAGAGGAGATCCCAGATGAAAATCTTATGTGAATGAGCCATGTATACAGATATAACAATTTAAGCAACAAATACAATATCAATCTACTCAGAAAAGGATGGCCTACTTTAGAACATCCAGAAGTTAAACAAAAGTATATCTTTGACTTTATCACGCTAATAAAGAAGAATGATGCATGA